AGAAAGAAATCAGAGAAGCATCACCCTTTACAATTGCCACAAACAACATAAAATACCTTGGAGTAACACTACCTAAAAATGTGAAAGACCTGTACCATAAGAATTTTAAGTCTCTAAAGAAAGATGGATAGGTAGGATCAACATAGTAAAAATGGCAATCTTGCCAAAAGCAATCTACCGATTCAATGCAATCCCCATCAAAATCCCAACACAATTCTTCACAGACCTTGAAAGAACAATTCTCAACTTTATATGGAGAAACAAAAGACCCAGGATATCCAAAACATCCCTATACAATAAAGGAACTTGGAGGCATCACCATCCCTGACTTCAAGCTCTATTACAGAGCTATAGTCCTGAAAACAGCTTGGTATTGGCACAAAAATAGACTGGTAGACCAATGGAATAGAATTGAAAACCCTGATATTACCCCACACACCTATGAACACCTGATTTTTGACAAACAATCCAAATTTATATGATGGAACAAAGAGAACATCTTCAACAAATGGTTGTTGGGGCAGCCTAGATGCCCCTCAACCGAAGAATGGATAGAGAAAATGTGGTACAGTTACACAATGGAGTACTACTCAGCGGAAACAATGGAATCTTGTAATTTGCAGGAAAATGGATGGAACTAGAAGAAACTATTCTGAGCGAAGTAACCCAATTGCAAAAAGACAAACATGTATGTGCATAACTGGTTGCAGACATGTAGAAGACTGCAGTTAGATCCAAGCCTTGCACAAAACTTAAGTCAAAATGGATCAAAGATCTCAACATAAATCCAGCTACACTGAACCTATTGGAAGACAAAGTGGGAAATACCCTTGAATTAATTGGTACAGGAGACCACTTCCTGAACATAACACCAGTAGCACAGACACTGAGGTCAACAATTGATAAATGGGACCTCCTGAAACTGAGAAGCTTCTTTAAGGCAAAGGACACAGTCAGCAAGACAAAATGGCAGCCCACAGATTGGGAAAAGATATTCACCAACCCCACATCTGACAGAGGGCTGATCTCCAAAATATACAAATAACTCAAGAAGCTAGTCTCCAAAACACTAAACAATCCAATTAGAAAGTGGGCTACAGAACTAAATAGACAATTCTCAATAGAGGAATCTAACATGGCTGAAAGGCACATAAGAAAGTGTTCAACATCCTTAGCCATCAAGGAAATGCAAATCAAAACAACTCTGAGATATCATCTTACTCCTGTCAGAATGGCCAAAATCAGAAACACCAATGACAGTTCATGCTGTAGAGGATGTGAAGAAAAGGCAACATTTCTCCACTGCTGGTGAGAGTGCCAACTTGTACAGCCACTTTGGAAATCAATATGGTGACTCTTCAAGAAAACGGGAATCAGTCTAACACAAGATCCTGCAATTCCACTCTTAGGCATATACCCAAAAGAAGCACATTCATACAACAAAGACATCTGTTCAACGATGTTCATAGCAGCATTATTTGTAATAGCCAGAAACTGGAAGCAGCCTAGATGCCCCTCAACCGAAGAATGGATAGAGAAAATGTGGTACAGTTACACAATGGAGTACTACTCAGCGGAAACAATGGAATCTTGTAATTTGCAGGAAAATGGATGGAACTAGAAGAAACTATTCTGAGCGAAGTAACCCAATTGCAAAAAGACAAACATGTATGTGCTCACTCATATGTGGATTTTAGACATAGAGTAAAGCATTACCAGCCTACAATCCACACTGCCAAAAGGCCTAATAAACAAGGAGGACCCTAAGAGAGATATACATGGTTCCCTGGAAAAGGGGAAAGGGTCAAGATCTGCTGAGCAAATTGGGAGCATGGAAAGAGGGGGGAGGGAGCTAGGAGAATGAGAAGGGGAGAAGAAGAGGGGTAAGGAAGACATAAGTGAGCAGAAAGGTTGAGTTGGGGGAGGAATAGAAGAAAACAAGAAAGGAGATACCCTAATAGAGGGAGACATTTTAGGTTTACAGAGAAGTCAGGCACTAGGGAAAAGTCTGGAGAGCTACAAAGATGACACCAACTAACAATCTAAACAACAGAGGAGAGGCTACCTTAAAAGACCCTCCCATGAGATTGATAACTGACTTATATGCAACCCGATAGCCCTCATCCAGAAGTTGGTGGAAGTAGAAGCAGATACCCATAACTAATCACCGAACTGAACTGGAACCCAGATGCGGAGAAGGACGAGTGAAGAGCACAGGGGTCCAGACCAGGCTGGTGAAACCCACAGTAACAGCTGACCTGAACATGGGGGAACTCTTGCTCCCCAGACTGATAGCTGGAATATCAGCATGGGACTGATCCAGACCCCAGGAACATGAGGTTTCTGTGAGAAATTTACGGGACCTCCTGTAGAAGTTCAGTACTTATCCCTAGCATAGTATAGACTTTGGGAGCCCATTCCATATAGAGGAATACTCCCTGAGCCAAAACACACAGGGCGGGGGCCTAGGCCCTCTCCCAAAGGATACAATAGACTCTGATGACACCCTAAGGCAGGCCTCACCACCAGGGGGAAGCAGAAAGGATACATGATAGATAGGGTTTTAGTTGGGGGGGGGGGGTAAAAGAAAAGGGGAGAGAGGGGAGAATTGAACTGTGATTGTCATGTAAAACAATCCTGTTTAAAATTCAAATTAAAAAAAAGTTGGAAAAAAAAAGTAAGGAAAGGAGTAACACGATCTTATCATCTAAACATTTAAATAGCCACCTGTCCAACAAAAAATAAACACTACGTGAACTTCTAATTTTTCAGCAACCATAACCATGTAAGCATGGCAGGGAGGGTGCGCCTGAGCGGGTAGAGAGCGCCTCCAGTGGAGAGAGAGCCTAGGCGCGCAGACCCTAGGCCCCCTGCCGCTCTTTTTAGCTACCAAAACACATTGAGAGTCCCGCCCTTTCGCAGCCCCGCCCACCCGGTGGCTGTCACTCAACAGGGACTCTGGACCTTGTAGTTACCAGCCCCTCCTTTCTTTTCTTCCCTTTCGGTGATGAAACCCATGAAAAACTACCAAGCCCAGAAGGCACCGCACGCTCCCGAATGGGAGGAGCGGCGGGCGAGAGGGCGGGACATGAAGGCCTCCCGGAAAGGATTCAAATTTCCAGGACTGAAATCGCGGGAGGAGCCGGCTCCGCGGCTTTAGGTAGGAGAGGCTGCTGCGTCCTTCCCAGGACCCGGGCCTGCGTTCTCGATGGCGGTTGGTTGTTAGGTTTTTCGGTCAGCACCCTCCCTCACAGCACACAGGGATGCAGTTACGCTCGGCCGGACCGGTTTGGGCTCCCCTAGAAGTAGTCTGGCCGGGCGGTGTCCTGACTCCGCTCCCCTGCTCTTAGTGACATTTGACAGAAGGAGTGGGTGGAGGGACTGGAGATGGCCCATAGGGTGCTGAGCACTGTTCGCTCTTCCCGATGACCCAGGTTTACTCCCCAGCACCCACAGAGGGGGGCTCGCCACTGTCTATTTCTCCAGTTCGGGGATCTGACGCCCACGTTTGGCTTCCGGGGGCACTGCACATAACGTAGTGCTCAGACTCTCGTGCAGGCAAAAACACCTATACACACACAGATAGATAGATAGATAGATAGATAGATAGATAGATAGATAGATAGATAGATAGATAGATAGATAGATAGATAGATAGATAGATAGATAGATAGATAGATAGATCTTTGAAAGGTGGGGTGGGTGGAAGGGCTCCAAGCTATCTGAATAGTTCGGCCGGCGAGGTTGGTTCAAAAAGAAAAGGCATAAATGGGATAGTTTCCCAAGCATCCAACAGAAATAATTTAGAAGATTCCTAGTGAGATTTTTGGCAGTATGACCAAGGCACTACAGAAGGTATACTTAAAAAACGTATGCCTCTTGTGGAATTCCTTTGGCAGAAGGAAGTATTTTGTTCCTAATAAGAAGATGAGAGGAGCAGCAATATAGTGTAACCTCCTAGTAGGAGTTTCTTTTTTAAAATGCTGCTTTGACTTTAGTTTGTATCAGTGGTCGGAGGAGAGAAGGTTCATTGCAAATATTGCATCTTGTGTTTTTTGTCTTGTTTTGTCCACCAAGTTGCTTTCTATTTTGCAAAACCATCTAGTGGAGCCCCCGTCCAATACAATTGTCACAATTCCAACCACAAGCAATCTGGATCATAAACAGCCTATCCAAATGCAGTCACCATGATGTCAGTAACTAAAAAAAGTTGAGTACTACATCTGGCCAAACAGTGTTTTATATGCATCAACCCATAAGAGAAACATATAGACAGAAGGGCATCTCCAATCACCTGTCCACTTCATCCACATAATTAAATAGTTGTTATATTAATTACTAAAACTCTAGCAGGTTTGTGGTTAAGTCAGATTGAAGGTGAAGAGCTCAATGGAAATGTCTAAGTTCACACACACATGCTTTCAATAAATCTTTGAATATGTCCTTAAAGTAGCCATTATTACTAAACTCAGTAAATACATAATGTGGGGAATCATTTCCCATCTTTAAAGATAATGTTTTTCAGGAGCAGCAAGAAACAGAACATGTAGAAACAACCATATTTGCTAAAAATGTTCAAAAAGAAGGGACCTATTTATTGTCTCCCCTGTACAAGTCAGATGTGCAGCCATTTGTTTTTTTCGCTCCACCTGTCCGTCTTCATGAAATACATGACAGACACAGCACTGGCTTCGTATTGCAGACTGATAGGCTGAAGTCAAGATATGTAAAGTTCTTTAAATCGTATCTCAAAACTTTCTGACTCAGAATAGGATGCATGGTTTGGTCTGAAAAGTTTGAGTGTATTTAAACTTTGCCCTGTAGGTTACATATGAAGACAGTTGACTAAAATATTGAACTATGACGGACACTTCCATGAGGAACAGTACTTTGAAAATTCCTAGTACAGAATGAATTCTGCAGATGCTGAATTCGGAAGTACAACGAGTCTAGGTAACTTTGTTGAACTGCTGCCTCCAGAAGTCACTTATAAAATTTTCAGCCAGCTAGACATTCACAGTTTGTGCAGAGCTTCTGAGACAAGCTGGAGTTGGAATCGCGCAATAAAAAACCATGATGCCTTATGGAAACCTCACTGTTTGACGGCAAGAGCTGTCTGCCAAAGAGAAATAGACGATGACATAAAAAGTGGTTATACCTGGAGGGTAAGTTTAACCTTCAAAGTTTGTCGTGGTTTTCACAGGGTTGTTTTAGCACAGTTAAGAGAGAGCTGTAATTCTGCTTGGAGGAATACAGAGTGTTTTGACTATAGAGGAGCGAGTTGAATCACTGTTCTCTCTACTTGACATGTCTCCACACTCTCTTCCACCCAGCCTTGTCTATCTCTGTATCTCTCAGATCTTAAAGTTAAGAACATCCTTGTTAATCACAAGAGGGGTGAAAAGGTCCATTTCTTTTATTCCACCTTATGAAAGCAATATATACAATGGACTGCTCTCTGTGTGTAACTAACCCATACAACCACACATGAATTGATTAGTGTGATTACATGTTTATTTCCTTGTCAGTAACCTCAGATCTGTGAATGAGTTTCTCTGCTTTCAGACATACTCACTAACTAGCCACACTGCCAGAGTTTTGAACGATGATGTGTGTGTGTGTGTGTCCCTTTCAGGTAATACTCCTGAGAAATTACCAGAAGAGTAAAGTGAAACATGCGTGGCTAAGTGGCAGATACAGCAACATACGTTCTCCTGCTAACCTGCCGGAAAAATTAATGTGCCCCCTGGATGCAGATACATGGGGGGAAATCCTAGACGCAGAACTGGAAAGAGAAAGTTGAAAAATCTCAGTAGATCTCATGGTGTTGATGGCACAGAGATCTACTGCAAGAGACTTTCTAAAATATGATAATGTTTTTCTCAGTTTTTAAAATATTTAGCATTTGAAAGAAAACAAAGTTGAATGTGAAACTTTGTATCTTGCACTTTAGTTAAAAATTTTTCGGGTTTTAAACTGTGAGAAATCATGAAATGTTATTTTTATAAGACACAATAGGCTGATAGAATGGTTTTGGAATGTTTCATGTATTTGTGTTAGACTGTTGTATGACTTTAAGTAATAGAATTTACTGCTCTTTTGTACTTAATTTTTCAAGAATTCAGAGGCTACCTGAAGAAACTTATTTAAAGATTCATTATAAATAAGTATCAATATACACTTACTTCACTTATGTCAAGTGAGAATAGTTTGTAGTATATGTAAACTAATACTATAATTACATGTTAATAGCTACAGTTTTCACTTCTGTGAAACAGATTGAACTGTCAAATAATGAAAACCTTTAAAATGTGTTAAACCTAATCTTGAAGCCGAAACTCTCAGATTAAGACTTACATTATTTTTCTGCAAACCTGAGATCATCTCAGAAGCTTTAACTGTGAAAAGTTTGAGAACATTTAAGAACCGTTAGAACCACCAAAGGTTGTTTGTTGGCTTTGTCAATGGCATGCCAACATCCTCATAGCGCCACCTAGTGGATGCTTAGTGCTTCTCCTTACTTAACAAGAAAATGTTCTCCAAGCCCTATTTATCTTGATAAAGTGTATCTTTGCAGGGAGGAACCTCTTTTCAACTTTGTTTCTTTTTTTCATAAAAGGAGAGTATGCAGCAGCATTCCCTCTACTAGGTTATCCCACCTGAATTTGTAAACCATAGTAGAAAGTGCCTGCAAATGTGGTCATTTGTATGGGGTTTTCTATAGTTACTATTCCATACCTTTCTGTTGTTGTGATAAAAACATCCTGACCAAAAACAGCTTATGAAAGAAAGAGTGTGCTTAGCTTATAGTTCCAAAGCAATAAGAGCCATCATTTCAAGGGAGGAGAGTAGCAGACACAGAAGATAGAGCAGAAAGCTGAGAGATCACATCAACGAAAAGCAGGAATCGAGAGTAAACTAGATGGAGGTGAGGCTTTAAAAGCCTCGCCCCAGTAACACATGCTTCCTCCAGCAAGGCTGCACCTCCTAAACCTCCCCAGACAGCACTACCAACCAGAAACCAACAAGTATTCAAATACGGGAGCACCATGTAGAACATTTCTTATCAAACTACCATAGTTTAAAATAAATCTAGGAGGCCAGTATTTGCTAACTAGACAGCCATCAGAACAATGCCCCATCATATACAAATACTTTTTGTTGCATCACATGGATGATTATTATCTATTAATATCTTAGAGTTGGAAATGATCTTGAAAACCAGGCAGGGCAGTTTCCAGAACTAGTCAGTAATTTCCTGTCAGTACACTGAAGTCTCAGACACCCCAAGTTCAAAAACAGCAGTAGTTTCTCCATTACATTGTAAGGCAGTACTCTCCTAGGACTGCTGCAGTCATTGGAAATTCTCCTCAAAACACAAGATCATCCATAGCATTTGTCTCTCGCCCTGTTTCTACTGCTAGGATTAGACCACTTAGTCCTTCTCTAGGTTCCTAGGCTTGCTATCTGAATGCTTCCAGATAGCCAGCCTGTCTCTTTCTACTGTCTTCTCCCTGTTCCTTCTGACAGTCACATGCCATAATTTCTGGGCCAAGCAGCACTCTCTGCTGTTCATGCCCTCAAATTCGTGATTGGGAAGGAAGATATCCTGCTGATCTCATTTAGGAAGAGATCATTAAAAAGCACTTTGAAATCTTGAAAACATGGAAGTGAAGCAGTAAGGAGCTTACTGGATGACACTGAATGTATATGCAGGTGTTGTGAGCTATGTCCCATAATGAGTGTTCTACCTGTCACCTTTTTCTGTTAATACAGAATGCCCTGAGGAGGGGGAAGCGCCCTTCTCATTCATGGCACCCTCTCTGTCAACCTCTGTGTTGAGTCTAAGAATGGAACGTGACTGAAACCACCTCGTTCTTAAACTGGAATGCAGAAGTGATGAAACTGTTTCCTGCTGCAAAGAGAAATGGGTCCTTAGTCAGAGAATCCACATCCAATAGAAAAACAAAGGAAGTGGAAGAGAGAGTGTAGTGATAACTCTATTCAGTCAGTCCACTTGTCTAAACCAGTACAAATTGCACTAAAAAACCCTTAGAGCTTTCTTACTGGTTTACAAGTGTGTGACACTCGTGGTTTACATTAGTGTCTTAGCTTTGGACTAGGAACCCTACCTGTAGGGCTTCCTTTGCCTGTTTTTTAAGTATGTGATACTTGTCATTTACATTAGTATATTTGTTGTAGAGATCTCAACCCTTGCTTTGAATCCTCCCTTAGTCCTGCCAAACTTGTGTCCTGAAGGTAATCCCTTGCCTTAGGTGCTCTTAGCATGCATTTCTTTCTCCATCTTCTTCTGTAACTTGTTCTTCCCACAAACCTTGAAATTGCTGCTAAGACACAAGTAGCTTACTTCCTAAATGTCTTCGCTACATTTTTGTTGTTGATTTGAGTGACACTTGCTTCTTGTCTTAGTTTGAAGGCAAGCATCTCACCATCCTAAAACTATCCATTATATGCTGCTGTTCTTGAAGGTTCAGACTGTTGTTCTCTTATGTTCTGAACGTCTGCTCCCCCATTATCACTACCATTGTGGGTGCTTATGGTGTCCGTATCCATGACTCCACATCACATTTGCCCATTGTCTTCCAGAAACGCTTCTGCCAACCTGTTGGAATCATTGCTAAGTCACTAATACCACAACCAGAGCTCATTAAAGCAAAAGACTAGTTATCCTTTCAACCCCTACCCAGGAAAGTGGCCAGGGCTTTAGGTAGTTAACAGTGTTTCTGCTTTTCTCATTCTGAGACCATCCAGCCAAGAATCAGTTCTTACTGGTTTAGTAATCTGAGCATTCTGACCCTTCTCCATATTTTCTCTGCTTTATTACTTCTTATCCTTGTTTGAAACTGACAAGGCTAAGATCACCTCCTAACTGATCACCTTCCTCTCACTGGTGATGGATCAGTCTTCCTAATTAGCATGTCACTTCTAAGTTAGATCATTTGCTACATTCAGGCAGAATGACTCTGAAAGGCCAGGGAGGCCTTTCATGATGCACCCTGGCTTACCCCTGTAGCGTTTTCTCTCACAACTTTCCATTCTGTTATCTTTCAGTTCAGTCACACTGAACAGCATTTGCAGTTGCCTGGCCGTGTTTGCCCCCTTACCTGTGTCCCTTTGTGCAGGTTATGTGACGGACACACTGACAGGGTTCTCCCCTTCCTCTACCTACCAGCAACTCCTGATTTGGCAAAATCTTTCACGGCTAAAACATCCATAACTGTATTGTTCTGGACTAAGTTATCCTTCTAAAGTCCATACATATCTTTTTTTTTTGTAACATTCTCCTCAAAAGTTTTCACATTGTGTTGTCTGTTTACCTGCCCCTATAGAGTGTGAATTTCTTAGTAACTGGAACCATGTTTTAATTTATTTTTCTTCCCTCTAAATCTGCTTCTAAATTATTTGTTAAAATGTCTTAGTAATTTATTGCATTATTTATTATTAGGAATCATATGCAGAATGTACAAGAAAATGTATTGATATGATACTATAATATATGTATTATTATGGTACCACATTTACTATTTGTTAGTGGATAATGCTATATTGAAATGCAAAATATGATTGTGGAGTGTCTGAGATACTCGATTTTAATGTTAAAATATAAATGATTGTTGTAGTCATCCTCAAAGGTGTAAGTGGAACTTAAAGTATTTTTGCTAAATTTTTAATAAACACTTGAAAATAAATTCAATTTTAAAATAGCAGATATAAATGATCTTCTATTGTTAGCCACCCCTGTCAATTTCAAGTATTACCTTGGCAAGTAAATAAACCATAAGCCGTTTTCTATTTTGTTAAAACAATTCTTTCTATAACAAGGAACACTTTAGAACATCGGTTTTAAGATTTTTGAAATTATTTTGGGAAGCTTCAGTCATTGAGCAACTATGTTTCTGAGAATTACAAATTATAGTTACCCATGCTTCTTATACCTTATGATGTTAGTCAGGTTATAGATGTGTTCAGAGATGTACCCAACATAGATATTTGATCTTCAAACACTTCAAAGACCTACAGAATATGGCATTTAAATGTTTTAATAATTTAGAACTCCGTTGATGTGAGACCCAATTGCTCCTGCCAGCACCCAGCTATTCCCGAGAGTATGAAGGGCACCATTGACACTCCATCTGGGGTTTGTTCTCTTCTTAGATTCTGGCCCCTTGGGCAAAGAACTGCCCCTAACTCAACTGCTGACTTTGGACAAAATCCTGTCCTAACTGGGCTAGCAAGAGACAAACTTAGAGACTGCTGAATCTTGCCAAATCAGGGTAAGACAGTCTTTCAGTTTCCCTGCTTCTGTGTTGGTCTGTCAGATACTCTAGGCCTTAGCCAAAGTTGGTTGCCCCGACGTTACTGTGAGACCTTGGGTGACTGCAGGTCACCTGCTGTTTCTGTCTTCACTTGCACCTTTAGGATGTCACATGCTTGCACTTCCTGCCTACCCTAGTAATGTTATTTTCCTTCTCAGGTCTTTGATGATGTTGAAGACTAGACAGTCACAGCTCATATGCTCTCTTATCTTAGATAGAAAATACTAAGATACAAGACTTGGAGTTTCCAGATTAGGACAGCTATTGGAGTAATCTCTGTTATATGTCTTTACCCTGAAACTGAACATGTAAAATATGTCTATTGCTCATTGTTGCTCTTGCTGGTTATCAGTTTTATTTTGTGTATGTTTTACCTTTCCTTCTCCTGGAATACACTTGTCATTGGTTATCATTGTATATAGTTTTTGTATCAGGCTTAAAACCTTATTCTTTAGACAAAAAGGGGAATTGTAGTGACATCTTGCCTTGTCAGTGAACTTGTAGTAGTCGCCACACCCTTTGGGTGTGGTTTCAGTTTTGGATGTGTCCCCTTTAAGGTAGAGGAGCTGCGTCCGTCGGAGATCTCTGAGGTCGAGGAGAGCATCGGAAGGGCAGAGACTGCATTTTCTGGAGCAAGAAGGTTGCGGCGGTTATTTACTCTTATCTGTGTAAATTCTTCCCCAATAAAACACCTATTTATCATTTATCTTGGGTCTGGTGAACTCATTTAAACCTCGCCTTCAGATGAGTTGCATTGTAAGGGCTTAAAGGGAATACTCATTTGAGAACATGAGTAGGTGGAGCCAAAATGAAATGAAGGCATGACTTCACTAATAGATAAAATACTGTAGTGACTACAGATGCTGTGTAAGGAGGGAAGATTACTAAAAAGAAGTTTTAAGTTTTTCTCAGTGTTTTTTGAAAACTTCATAATCAGCTTGATTTGCCATTTAAAAATAAACTTAGAAACCTTTCTTTTGTTATTTCTGATAACCTAGTCTTAGAAAATTATCAGTAGGGAAAAAATGCATAGGAACTATAGCCCCTAAGATGTGTAAACCTAATTTGAAAACTATAGCACATCCCCAACCATTTTGATTTCCCTTTTGCTGAGATTTTGTGTTACCTGTTCTCTAAGACTTAAAATACTCTAACATTATTAGCAAAAATAAGTCAAGTAATAACATCAAGAAACAAATCGAGACCAGTACATAAGGTGGGCAATCACATATTTTTATTTAAAGTTAAGTCAAAATCCCTAAGATACCAAACAGGTGAAATTAGATCCAACATGAGCAAACTGACTGTTTATGGTAGCCAACATTCCTTGGATGCCTGCTGTGTGCCAGATACTGAGCTCATGGGGTGGGCACCCTTCCTTCCCCTTCATTTTCTGAATTAAGAACTGAAAGACAATGATGATCTTGCAGCATACACACACACACACACACACACACACACACACACACACACACACACACACACACACACACACTCATATAAAGAGGACCTCTAGATGGTATCAGAGAACCCATAGTGGTAACTAGTCCTCTGAGAGCTTTAGGGCCTCCTGAGGCCAGATGGGTGTTCAGGGAGAACCACCACACTGACTCTGATCTTCAGAGACCCAGAAGTTGAGAACTGTCCTCTCCACAAATACTTAGGCCTGGGCATTCTATAAGCCAGTTTAGTTGATCTTGGCCATTTGAATGGTAAACCACCTTTCTCTTCATGTGTTGCAACAAGCTCTCTCTTCTCTTCTTGACCACAGCACTAGTATATGACGGGCTCTTATCCACTACTGAGACCCAGAACGTCATCTTCTTGGCTAGCATACTGTCTCGGTGCTGTCTGATTCCTTAGTAGGGATCCACATCTATTAGATTGTGTTCTTGAACTGTTGGTCTTCCCACATACTCCAATAGCTTTCCACTGTAGAATTTCCCTGCCTCTTCCCTAATGCAGACATTTGGGTGGGAGGTCTTAACTTTCCTTGTCAAAGTCTCAGGAACCTAAGCTGGAACACTGTCTCTGCCAGTACCCTAAACAGACCTAAAACAGGTAAAAGCCTTAGCCTTCTTTGTCTTCCTTTGTCTGCCTAGTTGACACCCAGGGTGACTTCTAGGGTACTAAGGCATCAAAATGCCAACGGCTGGAGAAGAGATTCAATGTGGGTTTTTAACTCTTCTGCCTTGATGGATTATAACTCCCCACCCTTTGCCCTCAAAACTGCAGGACTATCTAGACATTTGAATTGAGATGTTTGCATCTTCCCAAGAGAGGCTCAGATTCTCTGGGTAGCATCATCCTGAGTTAGCATATCCCAGAACTGCAGTCCACACTCCAGGGTGGGAGACAGCTGGGCACAGAGGCAGTTCTTTTCACCATGGGTTCTGATCCCACAGAACTGACAACCCCTGTTTCTACACCCTCCTCAGGCTCCCATGAGCAATGTCCCCTGCCCCTTGCCCTTGCCTATTCTGGAAATGTCATGGGTTTCCTCTCAGCCCCTGAAAGGTCTCACAATGACACTGGTATACCCTGGGTCAGATGAGTCATGGCTAGGCTCCTGTCTGGAACTGTGGGGAATATCAGGTTCAACTTATTGACTATATAACTGTTTCTCCACCCCCATGAGCCATTTTATTTGCATTGCTGCATAGTTTAAAGAAACCCCCAAAAATAATAGTAATAGAAACTGTAGAAATTGATGAACGCATGAAAATAGGATCATCCACTCTAAAGTGATCAATGGATTGTTAAAGAAATCATAGAAGTAATAAAAAAAAATTCCTAGAATCAAATGAGAACAAAACTTGTAGCACAAAAAATAAAAACCCAGAGATAGATATTGGGGTTCAACTGAAGATCAGAGAAGCAAAGCAGCCAAGCCACCAGAGAACTCTTACCTCTAAGAGTTCCCACTAAGGCTGGGAGATCCTGACCTAATGTGGCTGGAGACTAATTGCCCTCCTGTCCTCAATGTGGCTGGAGAATGAATGCTAAGTACAAGACCCTGCTCCTATCCTATATGCCTCTCTAGTGCTGGAATTAAAGGTGTCAGCTCTGTTTCTCTTTTAGACTGATTTACTCTCATGTAGCCCTGGGTGGCCTTGAATTTACGGAGACCCGTCTGCCTCTGTCTTCTGAATCCCAGGATTAAAGGTGTGTACCACAACTGCCCAACTTCTATGGCTGATTAGTGTGACTGGCTTTGCATTCTGATCTTCAATGGCTTTATTAGATCATAAACAATATATCACCACACAAAACTGCAACTTATATGAACATTTGGTTAAGGCAGCTGTAACAGGAGAGTTTATAGCTATGCATGATTATATTTGCAAAATCAGACAAAACTAAATAATGTAAAGATGTATGAAAAGGTCTCCAAGAAACAAGAACAAACTTCAAATCAAAAGTTAGAAAGAGACAGTGTTGGGACTGTAGCTCAGTTGTAGACAGCCTACAGAATGGGAGAAAAAGTTTGAGGGATGTATATTTGACAAGGTATTAACATCTCTGATATAGAAAACCCCAAAGATGGAAACCCAAAGATCAATAATTGCTATGCTGTGAGTTAAACTTCCTGTTCCACCAGCATTCCAGGAAAAATGAAAAAGAGTAGAAGTCCAAATAGGGTGGCCAGATTTACAAATAAGATACAGGTATTTCAGATGATAAAATTATCTGTTAGAATGAGTATATCAATAATGTTGTATGGGTGATATTACACTAAAATGTTCCTTTTTATATCTGAAATTTGACTTTAACTTGACCACCCATATTTAACTTAGCAATCTCAACTCAAAAAGACAGTGATGTGCTGAGCCTAAATTAATGTAGAAATGTCAGGGGTACTATTAATTGAAAAGTTTACATTTACAGTATGCCCATCCTTCTCTCAATTCCACACTTATGTAACATAAAATGGCTACCTAAGTAGTGACATGGCATCTCGGTCTCTTTCCTGACACACTCCACCCAATAGGACAGTGCTTCACCTTTTTGTTTTCATTCTTATTAACATTTGTTAATGGTACCGTAAGACCCCCAGCAGCTCAGGCCTCCAGGATCTCAGCCCAGGACCGAGGTCACCCCAATCACCAGGCGGATTCAAAAGCTTGATGCAAACTGCACGAGGCTTTATTATAGTTGTTTAATGAGCTAACCCCATGTTAGCTCAGGCCTTTCATCCATCCGCCATGGCAGATGGCTAGGAAAGACTGCTTGAAGCATCTGCATAGAGATCTTGTAGGGCAGCATAAGAGGAGTGTCTAGGGTACGCACAGGCTCAGGATTAGTGTGCCTCCAGGCTTGGAGGGCTTGCCCTGTGTTGATTGGTCAACTGGTTGTAATGGACCATACGCCTTCCCAGGGTGGTTGCTATGTTCTACATGTCATTGCTGTGCACTTGTCCGTAAAGCACACCTAGAGCCGTAAAGCATAGCGCCACCAGCTAACTTCTGATTGGGTCCTTGCCATGAGGCAGGCATCTGACCTCTTAGTGACCAAGGCAAGGTCAGACAAGCACATGTTCGGCTGTTATGGTTGCCGAAATGGGGAGCTGGTCCCTTCAGTTACATGTTACATACATATAAATATATGAACACAACCTACTGGGTTCATTTAATGTTACTTGAATGTATGTTTTGAGTGCTGACCATTTGGTATTAGATAATCACTTAACAGGCTCATCCCTAGGGAAGACTCATTCTCTCTCTCAGCAGTCGTTAATACCCGTAGTTCTTCTCCTAGGGATGGGCCTTGTGAAAATTTCCCCATTCATGTTGGCATGTCAACCGGTGCTATCATTGTTCATGTCTTTTTTAGGCAGGCACATTGCTGAGATTTTACCAGTGCAGTTTACCTGCCTATATAGAAAATACAAACTCATAGCAAATGCCCTGGTTCTCTGGATCTTAAGTCTTTCCATTCCCTTTTCCATGATGTTCACTGAGCCTTAGGTGTAGGGATCTATCAATTGGTGTTGAGCACCCCTTAGTTAGTTGTTCTTTGTATTTTGAAGAGCTGTGGTTTGCTTTAATAGTCTCCATCTGCTGCAAAAATGAGATTTTTTGGAAAGGGGTGAGAGCTACACTTAATCTGTGGGTATAAGGATGCATACTTACAATGTAGTTAGAAATTATACCAGTTTACCCTTCCCCACCCTCTGCCCACAGCTTGAGGTGGGCTCTGCTCAGGGCCCCAACTCCCTACATCCCCCTCCTTGGATCTTCCTGGCCTGCTCCAAGCCTAGAGTGGACCTGTCCCAGCAGGAAGGACACACTGAGTCTGTCCACACCTCAGTCTTGGCCCCTGTCCTCCACCCTCCACTTGAGGTGTGTGTGGGCTCTGCTTGGGGCCCAACTCCCGGCATCCCCCTCCTTGGATCTTCCTGGGCCTGCTCTGAACCTCGAGTGGACTACCCTGAGTATGGCCACACCTCAGTCTTGGCCCCCACTCTGCCCTCCACCCTCTGCTTGAGTGAGACCCATGGGAGTATTGGACCTGCTTGAACCCACCAGAAGAGAACCTTGGACCAGTACCCACCAGTAGAGGAAAAGACCCCATGTGCACCCACTGAAAGAAGGGATGGGAAGAAGACAATACAAAAACACATTCAACAACAGAAAAAACAATATGACACCACCAGAGACTAGGGACTCTTACACCACCAATGCCTGAACATCCTAATGCAGATGA